ATAAAGTGCTTAAGCTAGAAAGAAAAATAATCCAAATCAGATATCTGATGAAATAAATAAAAAAACCATAGTTGTACAACAATAACTCAACAAAATCAAGTGTCCTTCCTATCCATTAAAAAAAATAGTCAACCCTACAGTCAAAGGGGATCTTCATGAATATCTGTTTATGAGTCGGTTCCTCCAGTAACTTCAAGGACTTTAGATACAACGGTATATCCTCATAAACTTCGAGAGTTTCCTCTAGAACTCGGAGAAAGTCGTGTATGGAGATGTCATGTGAAGTACCAACCTGAATTGTGCATGCATCCACCGTTTTTGTTAGTTGGCTTCTGACGAATGCAACACCTTCTTTTTTCCTTTTCTCTAACCTAGAATGCTTTTACCTACATGTGGACTTAAGTTTATTTTAGTTTGGACTTGGGCCTTCACCAAAGCCACTTACCTGCTCGACATCTAAGTCCTATAAAATACTTGCAAACGCTTGCTCACTTGGGGTGAGCACATGAGCGCCCGTTGCCACAACGCCACCAAACATACAGTCCAACTTCTCTTCCGGATCTAGTTCATTTCCACTGAATTTGAATTTTTTTTATGGTTGACACTACCTCCAACATATGGTTAAGATTGTTACTTCAAACAACCTAGTAGGATAAAGTAAGGAAAAATAAGTCTTTAATGGATATGTTATTACCTCTAACTTCTCAGTCCACCATTCCTCTGAAACATCAATAGTTTGTTTGATTGGATCCCAACCCGCCGATAGTTTCTAATCATTTTTCAACTGGTCCCACTTATACTTAAATTGCAACAGTCTTACTCCCTTCCTGTCACTTCCTTAAACTTCTTTATAATATTTTGTCACCCTTCCTTATTAACAATTGTGGAGGGTCTATTTCCCAACTCAACCTCCTTAAGACACAGGTCGGAAAATATGAGTGTGACATCCCTATCCCACATGGCCGACAAACCAACTTCTTTAATTTTCAACCCCCAACACAACCATCACCCTTAGCATAGCCACCACCCACCCCAACCCATACACCACCCAAACCCCCAGCACATCCAACACCAAAACCCCCAGCACAGCCACCACCCCATCCCCAGCACAGCCACCACCCACCCCCAGTTGACCTCACTTTTGTGAGGATTTACCCTAAGTCAACAACTATGGATAAGACATGCCCTGAGTCATTCAAATCAACTTAGGATCCTAAGGAATTTTCTAAAAGTCCTAAAACTATCATTATCATCAAATCCATCTTAGGAAAGAGATGTACTAACATTTATCCATAAACCCCACATCACCACATTGACCATTTGATCAACCCTAGACCATATGGTCACCACATTGACCATTTGGTCAACCCTGTACTCAAAGGTCACCACATTGACCATTGGTCAACCTTGGGTCCCATGGTCAACATATTGGCCATATGATCAAACCAACCCTACATGGTCCATACTTTGACCATATGGTCAACTCAACACCACATGACCAATTCCATGCCCAATTGAACCCAAATGGTCAAACTTATGATCAATAACTAATCATCTCGGGATTGATTTAATTAATTAATTAATTAAAAATTTCATGAAAGGCTTAATCCAAGCCCATCCATAGAAACCCAAACCCATCCATAAAAGCCCAAGCCCGAAATCTTCCTTGGTTCATTTTTTTTTGGGTAACCCATAACTCCATAAGACCTATAATGAACAAAAAACTTATTAAACACTTCAAGACACCTAAAGCCACAAATTTTGACCAAAGTCCAAGCTAAGGTGACTCCATCTCCTTGAACAAAATTTGACTGGTCAGCCAGCTAACACCTGAGCTCTTTATCCACCTCAATGGCTTGCCAATAGGACCAATAGCTCACCATCACCACCTTCTTCTCCATATTGGGCTTCATGATGAGCACACCATGGGGAAGGGGAAATGTTGACAATTCATGGATGGAGTTATCCTCTGAGCTCTTCTAGCATTTCTTGAGCCACCACTTATCCTCTCCAATAGGCCATAAGACTCCTAAAGGCCTCCAATGGCTATTTAAAGCCCTTACCCGAGAGATCTCAAGAGGAATTTAACTTCATATAAAGCCCTTAAACTCACTTGCACTCAACAACAAAACTACTCCCTATCCCCTAGACAGTTGATCCCTCGCCATCCAAATCTTTGAAATCCACTAGGGAATCCTAATTTCCCAGGCCAAAACCAGGGAAAATTTCGGGTTGACATAAACCCTATCAAAACTCCAACTTAAGTGTCCTAAAACCTTCCTAAGGTCCTCACGACACTTCACCAACAAAAATTCAGCCAACCCAAGGCTTCTAACCTACTCTAAGTCGAAGTCGAGCCACCGTTTACCAAGAACATACATAGGCTCAATTTCATTCCAAATTGAACCCCGAAGGAGCTTTGCAAGGTCATCACAAACATGTCTGCCAAACTCAATTGAGGCCAAATCTCTTGGGCTAAGGAATGCTTCGTGAAACCTAAAACTAGACTCGAGTCTGGTCTTTTATTAAAGAAATGTTAACACAGTGCTACTTTAGTCGTATAGATGTGTTCCTTTAAACGCAATGAAGCTTTAGGAACAATAATCATGAAGTTTGGTGGAAAATCTAGTGAAATATTACGTTTTAACTGGGAATAGTTCTTGGTTAATTGTCCCGCAAAGATGATGAATCGATGTCATCTATTTCCATGTATCAGAAATGGACGACATCGATCAAGATAGACCACTGATTCGTCCATATGAAAAGGACTGAACTACAGGCCATCTCAACATCCGCATGTAAGTTCCGCGAATCCGCACTCATCGCGTGGAGTTTTGAGGAGTTTGACATTTCAGCTGGCGTCGTGTTGGATAAGTAGAAAAATAGGATTTTCTATTTAACTAAATTCCAAAAATCTTAATAAACTTTAAAAATGCATATCTCCACCTAGAAAATAACAAAAATAAAAAGAAAATATCCCCAAACTCATTAGACCAAGGAGAAAATAAGAAAAATAAAATTGATAATGATTGATATTTATTTAATTTTTAATTATTTAAATGTTTTTTTAGGTATTTAAATTATGAAAAATTAAATAAAATCTCAAAAATTATGAAGTTCACAGAGGACATTTCTTTCATCCTTGGAAACAACCTATGATTTTTCTAAGGTTAGAAAAAGTCCCTAAACTGAAAATGATCAATTTTGACCAAATTTTATACTTATAATTAAGAATAATTATAAAAAAACCAAAAAAAAAAAAGGAAATTAAAGTTGAAAATGGCTAGAAAATTGCGGGTGATAAATTTAAACATTAAAATATTAATTTTCATTAAAAACATAAATGAAAAATTAGGAACTAAGGAGTAAAATTGTAAATTAATATTTTAATGTAAATTTTTAAATTGTAAATTAATATTTTAAGTAAAATTGTAAATTGTAAATTAACAATGAAAACACAGCAATACCTTATGTCCACCAATTAAGATTGCTACAGTGCAATTACATACAGGCCAACCGAAACATTGCCATCTACAAATGAAGCATCCTCTTTCATCCATCTTTCAATTCATAGCTGAAGCATAAAAGAAAAAAATTGTGTAGTATTGAATAGGTGCAACTGCAAACAGGACACCCAATAGAATGCTATGAACAAACCAAACTCTCTTTTACATCCAATTTTCAAATTGTCACACAAACATCAAACGAATTGACGAAACCCCATCCAATTATTTTCATTTGAGGCAATGACATACATGGCACCAAAAAATTTGCTATCTACGAATAAGCACCCTTTTCAGATGAACAACCAAAAACTTTGTTATCTTCAAATTAAGGATACACTTTCACCCATTCTCCAAATTCCATCGAAAAAACAAAAAATTGCATAAAAAAAAAACCATTCCTTCAAAAAATAGCATAGAGAATACCATTCCATTGAAAAATTGCTAGAAATCACATAGAGAAAGACATTCTATCGAAAAGTACATACAAAGCACAATAACCAAGGATCGTAGAAGGAAGAAGTGAAAGGCAATGCTAATCGCGAGAGAGGAGTAATCGAGGGAGAGAGACAAGAGAGGAATCACGCAGGGCGTAAAACACAATTGGGGGTCTAGCGAGGAGGAACTAAGGGCATGCGGGTGATAAGTGGAGGAAAGAACGCGGGTCACAAGGTCAATCCCACGGCTGCGTTTATTAATATCCCAAACCGCTTATTTGAATAAGCTAAGCGAACACACCAAACAAATGACACGGACGAGTTTTCAAAATGCAACCGCACCAAACAAGCTGCCCCAAACGGAGCCTTAATCTTTAAAAAAATAAAGATAATTCAGAATTGTTTAATTTTGATTTCAAGATTAGACTACATAATTTATTGTGATAAATGATATCTTAAAACCATATTCACACGGGTCATATAATTCAAAGCCAAAATATAACCTTGATAATATTTTGCCACATTAAGCTTTATCCTGAATCAAATTATCTGATGCAAACTTTAGGCTTTCCTGCTCAAATTTGTTTCTTATTCCTATATTAATATATAAGCCATTAACCATATTTACATGGAAATAAGCAGATCAAATATATCAAATTAGTTCTAATTTTTCAATCTAAATAGCTCGCTATAATCCTATAATTTTTTTTTTAAAAAAAGGGCATTTACATACATAGCACACAATTCTTATATATTTACATATCTAACACCTAAACATTCCTATTTATATGTATTTCACTCAAATCAACATCACATCAAAAATACCATCACTATTTTTATAACATCAAGTTGTTATTAATGTCAATATTAAAACTTCAGGTGTTAATACATAAATATTGTGTTGCGTACGTAAATTTCTTTTTAAAAAATAATATCAATGAATAAATTAATTTCATTTCAAACTCTAAAACCTAAAAAATATTAAACTAATTTATGAATATGTCATATTCCTCAATATATGCGTTGAAATAACATACTCTATACAGCAGCAGAACGTATGTTCTATATAATTGCTAAGAAGACTATAAAGCTACAGTTACAGCATGTTTAAAGCAGGGCAAACAAGACTCAACTTCATTTTAAAAAAGAGACAGAACTTCAAGCTGTCAAATAACACAAATGACGAGCATAAGAGGCATCTAAGACCTTAATGTTTACTCTATATAGCAAAAAAGCATCTAACTCAACAAAAAATTAAGAAAAAAATAAAAGATAATTACCGGAAGTAAATAGATATCAGTGGGATATCAACATCATTATCTTCATCATCCTCACAAGCAACAACAACATCCAGATGTCGCCTATATGATGGGACCTCCAACTTAGACACATCCTGCGCAAGCTCCACAATTTTCCTGTCCAGCCTATCCTTGTGCCTCAGGAACATGCTGTTGTACAGCAGGGAAGTTCCATGTGATATACTGTAGGCATTGAGTCCCCTGTTCTTGAGCCACTGAAGAAGCTCACGAAGGGTGATGTTACCTTTGATGATCCAGCGATCCCACACCGTCCAGCTCAAATCCTGATGCTTGATTACCTTTGGCGCCACAGGCTCCGCCATGGAGAAGAGCGGAAGGGCGAGATTTGCGAAAGTGTTGCGATAGTTCTCCAGCTTGTGCCCGCCAGCAATGACTTTGTAAAGCTCGAGGCACACCAAACCGGTCGCCATAGCCGTAGAGGTGGCGATGGCGGGAATGATCCTCCCGGCAATGAACTTGGCTTTCAGTTTGTCAACTTCTGGAATGCCGTAGTTTCTTGCCCGCATGTTTGCTAGCCCGGCTATGAACTCCATGTGGAAATTTGTATCATCATCCTGAGTATATTTCCTAGCATATTAGATAATAGAAATATAATAATAGAGGTTTTGGGGATGATGGTTGGGAAAACCGATAATTCAGGAGAAATTGATAAGCTGCATTTACCATAACCAAAATAAACATATGAAACCCATTAAAACTAGCTCAACAGATATAATCGAAAGTTCCAATTAAAAAATAATTTTACACATAGCAATAGAATAATGGCTGCAAAACTGATGTATTCCATTTTCAAATCAAAATATCGCAAGCTAAACAAGATTTAATGTGCTTGAAGATGGAATCTTCTAACTTCCCATGTAGATCAACAAAACCAAAAATGTAAGCAGTCAGACTAAGTGAATACTCAGATGATTATAAAATAATTTGGAAGGTAATAACCCAAGACAAAACAATGTTGCTTAAGAGAAAGCAAACTCTATCTTCAAACCAAAATGTGTTCAACAAAACTTTTCATTACATAAAGGAGGTGCACAGCAGATATCGATATACAATGGCATTCTAGTGCATAATACCTTTTCAAACTGTATAGGGTTCAAATGGTATCCAGGGGGTAGTCTCTTTGCACATTCTTCCAGCTTTGCAACAAGCTCATTAATGACAGCAGCGTCATCTGTAGAGGCAGTTGACAAGTTAGTTGCTTTCTCATCAGTAACAATTTTAACTCCCTTCTTGGGTTCAAACTCAGTCACAACAACTTTGTTGATCGCATCAACCAGCTTCTTTGGGTTATTAGCCCAATCGGGTATAGGAATTCCAAATGTCTCTGCTCTCAATATAGAAGCAGACATGATGAAGTCAACATGACTTGGATCGCAAGTAGAGAACTGCAATGGTCGGGGGAAACGTTTCGGTGCAGACCAAAATGATGACCCAGTGCTGGTAACAGCATCCTCAGGAAAAGTGAATGTTAGTTGCTTTATGCGATTGGCAAAGTAATCTTCAAACCTGAGATATGATAAGTTCAAAATTAGCAAAAAATATAGCTTTAGAAAATATATCTCAGATGATAGAATTGCCTGAATTCAAAACTAGAATTGACTGAGCTCTTTTCAAAAAAACAAAAGATCTAATCATAACATAAACTGAAGGATGCGTGACTCGGGGCATGGAGGAGGCCTCGGACTGGTTCAGTGATTCGGTCCAAGTGGGGCATGGCCGGTCGACACTTTCTCTAGGTCTAGGGTCGCCGCTCATTCCTAATAACAAGGATGTTTTCATCCATTTGCTTTTATTAGGTGTACATTATTTGTTGATTATAAATAAGTGGTCATTTCTTATGTTAGGAGCCTTTTGTTCATTTGAGGCTTGCAAGGGCTTGTGCTCCCTTGGTGGCAACTGTATCCCCTCGTTGGTGGTAGTGATATCTCGCCTTCCTTAGTCAATCCTTCGTGTGGTGATTTTTGTGTTTCGATTGGTTGCGAGAGTAGAAGTTCTTGTATCTTATATCCTTTATTAAATTAGTGCATCTCGCCTTTATTTTGAGTTTTTTTTCCCGACTAGGATTGCTTTCTTGGTAGTTCTTGTTGAATGTTCTCCAACCTCACTTCACCAATATCATTTGGTATCAGAGCTAGTTGAACCCTATTTTTATCATAAGGTTACCAAAATCCTCCCAAACCTAAACCCGCCAAACCATATCCAAATCTTGACCTAACCCTAATTCCCCTAAATATTTTTTATGCACCCTACATCAACCCCATAGACCCTATTTCACCTGTCAAATCTAAATCCACCTAATCATAGCGAAATTATGACATAACCCTCAACTAATTTTTAAAATTAGAAATGCTATATATTTTTCGTTGCACCCTAAATCAGGCTCATACACCCTTTCACCTCCCAAATCTAAATCCTAACCATGCCACAAGGGAGACAAGTGTTGCAAGTCAAAGGCTCTCCAATCCTGGCAGGTTACAGCAGCTTTGCCAGCTTCAACGTGGCTAACTGACACCATGAGGAGTCAGAAGCTTTAAAAAATGAGGACGAAGCTCCATCAACCCCGGCAGATTGATGCAGGGCAAGGAGGGGACTTCGAACTGGTTTGGTCCAAGTAAGGGAGGGTCGATCGCGGCACTTTCTCTAGGGTTAAAGTTGCCGCCCACTCCTAATAGCAAAAAATGACACTTTCATCTGTTTGCTTTTATTAGGTTTAGGTCATTTATTGATTATAAATATGTGATTTTTTATTGTATTAGAGGTCTTTTGATCATTTCAGTTTTGTGAGGGCCTGTGGTCCCTTTGTGGCTCCCGGATGACGAGTTTTTACCCACAGCTTTGGGTGGTGGCAACTGTATCCCTTCACTGTTTGTGGTGACATCCCGGGTCTCCTTCTTTCGTAAATTATTCAAGTAGTGATTTATATATCCCGATCGGTTGAGAGAGTAGGAAACTCTTGCATTTTATATCATCTTTTTGATTCGTGCATCTCGCCTTTGTTTTATTTATTTTTTTTCTTGACTAGGATTGCTTTCTTGGTTGTTTTTGTTGAATCTCCTCCAACTCCACTTCTCCGGTATCGAGCCCTCAACTGTGTTGCCCATTGTCTGCACTGCATGCTTACCCCCATGCCCCCTCACCTGTTCAGTCATGACGCACACTAGTCCGGTTACTTCAATGAATTTGATTTGCACCTAACTATTTTTCTGCATTTCTTAAATGCATGCATTCCGGTTACTCTCAATTTCTAATATACATATATTTTCAAAACATCCTAAAATACAGCCTCAAAGATGACTTTGAACACACTACAACTCAGCAATAGTTTATCACGATGTAGCTGTCTTCCCATCCATGATTAAATGACATAAGGCTGGCAAAATAGTCAACATCTTATAGATCAAACAAAAACTTGCTCCAGCTTAACAGTCCGCTTTCCACAAAATTAACCAAATAAAGTGGGAATAACCACTACCCTTTTGGCTGTATTAAACTTGCCAGGAATTATAGAAAATAAAATCAGCAGTAGTTGAAATAGCTATATTGCTGGACTAGTACTTTCAAATGCATCTATATGAGGATCATTTTCGTCCATTATGACAAACAAAAACTGAAATATGATGCGAAGTAAAAAAGAAATGAAATTTATGAAACTTACCTGAGTCGTGCCCAACTGACGCAATCTTCAAACGTATCACATCTGTCCTTGTCAAGGCACTCTATGACACGCTCGAGAAGATCCCTAGCCTGGGCATCACCTGCTGCCTTCATAGCACCCACATATTCACCTGGATCAGTTAAGAATTTGTTAGCCTCATTAGGGGTTTTCTCGAGCATGCCCTCAAACTCAGACCTGGCCCATGTCAAACAATGATCAATGTTATGGGGAAAAGAATGAACTGTGCACATAGGTGCCTGTCTTTCTGGCGGGTCTCTAGAGGCGCCATAATTCTCAGTAAAATGTGGTACAACCATTTGAGTGTTACATTTGGTACCAAGGGTCCCAGACTCCAGCAATGGCTTCTGGAAATACAAACATCTTCCATCCATATACATCCTTGCAGTTACGTTGTCCAAAGCATTTATAACAACATCCAAGCTCTCCCAGAAAGTATCATCAAACACATTTTCTGTTTCAGGACTAGCACGATTTTGCAGGGCCTCCATATGGAGCCTAGGGTTGATGGCAGCAGCAGCTGCTGCCGCTACAGTGGATTTTAGTTGCCCAATATTCCA